GTAAGGCTCCTAGACAGGTCGTGACCGAGAGCCGCAGGCGGAGGCACAAAGCGCTCTGAGTAACTGCTTGAGTCTTAGCTTCACTGATAAATAAGGTGACCTTTGAAAATGATTTAATCCTTCAGCCTCGGCTTCCTCATCTGTAAACTGGGATAATGAAGATTAAATAGCAACGGATGCCCAGGAACTTTTTAAACTGTGATGAGCTGCCCATAAACATAGTAATTACAAGTTTAATGACGAAGCAGCGTGGTAACACAGTCTTGGAACGGTGAAGATCCTGTCTGAAATCACAGGATGTGCGGACTGGTGAATTTTATCCTATTTGAAGTCCTCAATCCCTTCTCCCAGCCCATCACACAGGGGCCCTAACTCGCTGTATGCCACCCAGTACAACCTTCTGAATTGACGAAAAAAAACAAGAAGTATTTAAATACAGTGTTTTCCAGTAGCTATAAAGAGATATGGCAGGTCCAAGGAAATGTTTCATTGGGGTCAAACTCTTTTGTGGATGAGGGTGAGGAAAACAGGCATATTTTAAAGCACATCTTTAAGCCTTATGCTCTTTTACAATAAAAGTGTTTTCAAATCCTCCCAGTATATGCACTCTTATCAGTCAGCTCTGTCCTGGATGCTGTCCTGGAAGGAATCAGCCAACATTTACAAGACTTACATGCTTTTACACAAACCACCGCATTTTGCCCGCACAATACTGAGTCTGGTCGGGCGAGTCACTGTGAACGTCCACCTGCCGGAGAGTAAACCAGGACTAAGAAGTCACTGAGGGCCACGGCTGGGACCTGGGCCGCAGACCCCTCCCCAGCTTTCGGTGCCAAGCATTGGGGGCTGCTCCGGGGGTGTGCAGTCAACGGCCGCCCCCGGAAGGGAAGGCCCGCGCTGCGGACCCGGCAGGACCAGCTTGGGCTTGGCGGGAGGAGGGACAGAGACGAGACCCCGGGGAGGAAACACCCTCGGAGAGGAGAGACCTCCGGGGAGGAGACCCCCCGGGGAGGAAACCCCGGGGAAAAGAACTCCCGGGAGGAGACACGCCCGGAGAGGAGAGACCCGGGGAGAAGAACCGCGGGGAGGACACCCCGGGGAGGAGACCCGGAGAGAAGACCCCCGGGGGACTGTGTCTGAGGGCCGGCGGGGCTGCGGTTAGGGACAGCACGACCCCCTCCCTACAGCCCGGGCCCTGTCCTCACCTGCCACCGGCCCCCTGGGGTTGGAGAAAGGGTCACCTACAGCCGTAACCCAGGGGGCAAGAAGGATAGAGGAAGCCGGGAAGGAGTGACTGGAATCGACGCCTCCTGCGGCTTCTGCGCCTGCGCGCGCCTGCTCCCGCGCATGTCCAGTGCAGGAGCCAAGCGCCCGGCGCGTTTCCGGTTCATGCATTGGTGGGCGGGGCGTGGGCCCCAAGGTGGGGATCGGGGGCGGGGAATGCGCGGGGGAAGTTCAGCCCTTCCCTGGGACTGGGGAGGGAAATCGTTGTGACCTTCAGAGGCAACAAATAAACCTGTGGCAGAGGGGCAGCTGGAAGGGAGATGGTTAAGCTCTTTATTTTCCTGGCCAAAGCACCCTAGAAACATTTATTTTCAGGGATTTGTCTTTGTGCCTATATGTATTTTCAACTTTTCCTGCCATGCATCTGTACTACTGTGTAACCACATTAACGATAAAAAGGGTAATAATAATACGAATAATGGCTGGGTGGATTTAATCCAGCAGTATGAAGATCCTGCATTCCTTAGCGCCGCAACTTAATCTTAGGCAAACGGTGCCGGTGAATAGGATGCCCACGTCTGTGCCTCTGCTTCCTTGATTTCTGGTGTAACCACCCAGATCTCTTCGTTCATCCAAGGATTCCTAACTAGCTTAAGTACCAGGCACAGCGCTAGGCGCTGGAGCACAACTAAGCCAAACCAGACCCAGCCAATTCTTTATTCTTATTTTTTAATGATTTAAAATATTTTATTTTTGACAAATAAAAATCGTATATATTTAAGGGGTACAACATGATGTTTTGATATCTAACCTAAGTGTCCATCATCGGATGAATGGATAAAGAAGATGTGGCACATAAAAAGAAACGAAATTGAGTTATTTGTAGTGAGGTGGATGGACCTAGAGTCTGCCATACAGAGTGAACTCAGAAAGAGAAAGACAAATACTGTATGCTAAAACATATATATGGAATCTAAGAAAAAAAATGTCATGAACCTAGGGATAAGACAGGAATAAAGACACAGATCTACTAGAGAATGGACTTGAGGATATGGCGAGGGGGAAGCGTAAGCTGTGACAAAGTGAGAGAGTGGCATGGACATATATACACTACCAAACATAAAATAGATAGCTAGTGGGAAGCAGCCGCATAGCACAGGGAGATCAGCTCAGTGCTTTGTGACCACCTAGAGGCGTGGGATAGGGAGGGTGGGAGGGAGGGAGATGCAAGAGGGAAGAGATATGGGAACATATGTATATGTATAACTGATTCACTTTGTTATAAAGCAGAAACTAACACACCATTGTAAAGCAATTATACTCCAATAAAGATGTAAAAAAAATTTTATTTTTGACAAATAAAAATCGTATATATTTAAGGTGTACAACGTGATGTTTTGATATATCTATACATTGTGAGATGATGACCACAATGGAACTAATGAACTTATTCATCACCTCACTTATTTCCCATTTTCTGTGTTTGTGGTGAAAACACTTGAAATCTACTCTCCACAAATTTCAATTATAGTATATTTTTTTAAATTGGAGTATAATTGCTTTACAACGTTGTTAGTTTCTGCTGTACAACGAAGTGAGTCAGCTGTATGTATACATATATCCCCTCCCTCTTGGACCTCCCACCATCCCACCCCTCTAGGTCATCACAGAGCACCAGGCTGAGCTTCCTGTGCCTTATAGCATGTTCCCACTAGCTATCAAGTATAGGATACATTATTATTAACTATCTCTCCAGAACTTATTCATCTTACAATTGAAAGTTTGTACTTTTTGATCAATATCTCCCCTTTCTCCCACCCCTCAGCCTCTGGTAACCGCCATTCTGCTCTCTGTTACAATGATTTCAACTTTCTCTTTTAGATTCCACATGTATGTGGAATCATACTGTATTTGTCTTTCTGTATCTGGCTTATTTCATTTAGCACAATGTCCTCTAGGTTCATTCATGTTGTCACAAACGACAGGACCTCCTTCATTTTAAGGTTGAATAATATTTCATTATATATATAAAAAAACATTGACCAGCTTAAACTGCTTATTCTCCTTAAATTGATTAATCAAACCTTGAGTTATTTTACAGACAGCACTGCACGTGTCTCCAGGATGACCCCCAAAGAATCTTCAGTCTACAGAACTCAAATAGAAATGTCACTGGAGCCCTGTATGAGGCAAGAAATCTTTCACTAAGGAAAATCTGGGTTCCAGCAGCACCGGTAGTTTATATGGACTGATTTGAGGCTAACCAATCAGCTTTCAAGTTTGAAATTTCCCTAACCCCTTAAATTTCACCCTGAACCTTGGACTGGGGAGACTGATTTGAGACCTGTCTCCCATTTCCTTACTGGTCAACCTCACAATAAAGATCATTCTTTTCTCAAAAGCTGGTACCATAGTATTGTCTTCTATGGGCATAAGGCAGTGAGCCCTTGCTGAGTGTGTGCATACACACACACACACACACTCACACACATTTAGGTTGTTTCCATGTCTCAGCTACTGCAAATAATCCTGCAGTGAACATGGAGTGCAGATATCTCTTCAAGATAGGGGTTTCATTTTCTTCGGATCTCAAAAGTGGGATTGTGAGATCATATGGTAGCTCTATTTTTAATTTTTTGAGGAGTCTCCATAGTGTTTACCATAGTCGATGTATCCTTTTACATTCTCATCAGCAGTGTACAAAGGTTCCCTTTTCTCCAACCCTGCCAACACTTAACTTTTAACTTTTTGGTGACAACCATTATAACAGGTGTGAGGTGATAGCTTGTTGTGGTTCATTTGCATTTCCCTGACGATCAGCGATATCAAACATCTTTTCATATACCTATTCCAGACCTCGTTATTTGAAACAAAGATTAAGGGAAGAGGGAAAAGTTAAATGGTCACACAGATGGAGGAGAGGTGCATGGTCCTGGAAACCTATGGGACCCAGGTTAGTGAAGGAGGTTCAGCTATGGGGATTTTGGGGCTCCATGCAATGTCATTCCTGTCTGCCAAAGGCATTGCCTAATGTCAAGGCAGGCACTTTGGGAGTACTGCCTGAGCGGGGCAACCTCTCCAGCATGACAGTCCTTGGAGATCCAGTGACCCCAGGATCTTCCCACCAGGCTCCCTACAGAGGCAAATGCTGCCAAACAATGCCAGTGGTTCGATACCAGGCATCACCCCAGCCCTGGCAGTGCGATCCCTTGGCCACGCCACACACACCGCCTGGCACCTGCAGATATGAACTAGCCCGGTCCCTGACTTTAAGGATCCTGGGCCCGGCCTACCTAAGTCTGACAGGCCAGACACATACCCTAGCCCCCCAACTTAACCCCTCTGTGCCCTCAACTGTCACTGAAATTTGCAGCGGCCCATCTGTAAAATGTAAGAATGATGCCTTAGCCGTAAGGCTGGAGCGAAGAACTTAACGACAGTGCCTACAAAGCATGCGTCCCGGCGCCCAGCCGTCCAACGACAGCGTCACAGCCTCAGGGAAGCCATTCCCTCTGGGCCGATGGAGCAGGGAGAGGCCCCAGCTGCAGACCGCCGGGCGGCCGTAACTGCGAGCCGGGCCGGGCCGGCTTCGCTCCGCCCCCGCCTCCCTACGGGAGTCCCCAGGCCGGTTGTCCCCTCGCGGTCCCACTCTCCGGGGCCTGGGAGCTGAGAGCCCGGATGGGAGCCAAGTGGGCATGCGCACAAGCCCGGCGCTGCCGCCATTGGCCGCCGGCGAGGAGCGCATTGATGACTCATCAGGAAACACCGGAAGTGAGCCCTACGGGAGCCGGGGTGGGCCAGAAAGCGTTCCGGTTTGGCGCTGCCGGGGCTGGAGGGAATGAATGGACGCTGAGGTGGGGCGCACCCGCTCCGGGGACCGGCCTTAGGCGAGTGAGCCGCCGCAGCATGGAGGACGACGCGCCGGTGATCTACGGCCTGGAGTTCCAGGTGGGTGACAGGAGGGCCCAGCGACGTCGGTGCAGCCGAGGTCACTGGGGATTCGGGGGGCCAGAGGCCCTGGTCATCCAGGACGGGCCGGGGGCCTGCGTGACACACGGGGGGCGCAGCGGTTCTGCCCGCGACCCCCCGGCTTGGGAGCCCCCGCCGCCTCCCCTCAGCCCCGGGCGTTCCTTGTGGCCTAAGTTTCACCACTCACTTCGGTGTATTTGCCTGTGTACCTTTCCTCCAGCATTGGCGTTCCTGGAAGCATGCACTCTATTTTTTTCTTTTTTATGTTAAAAGAAGTAGCTGATTTTTGCACTTGTTTACTTTACACAGCTCTGTGGGCCATGGCTTTCTTGAATTTGAAGAACCATTACTACAGTAAACATAAAAGAACCGAAAGTTGTAGTGGAGGTTTGGTTGTCAGTGATGTTTAAATCACTGTGGAGAACAGTTTACATAGAAGATGGGAATCTGATTATTGACCATTGACTGAAGGTAATGAGGCTTGGAGGGTAAAATGAGGCACCACTGTGCAAATAAGAGGCAGAAGACCGGCACAGAGGGGCCGTTAAAATGAGAAAATGCCAAGCACATCCGTGTTTCTGCAACGTTTTGACTTGTGTTCATGATTTTAGCTCTTTTTCTTTTTGTGTATTTAAAATTTTTAAAACAAGTAATTCTTACGAGTTGTTTAAGCAGTCAGTGGCTGAAAATCTGATTAAAAATCAGCCAGCCCTAAGCACTCCCTTTCCATCTTATCTGAGTTCTTGAGAACAACCACTTTCAACATTTTAAAAAGCGTTTCTTCTAGTCTTTACCTTCTTGCTTTTATCTCTCGATATAACCTGGCGACTGGATGGCATGGCACGTGAGGATTTGTGGCTTTTTCTACGCTCTCCTGTCTTCCTTCAGACTCCCAATATAGTTAATTACAATCTTTTGCCAAATCTATACTCAGGTTTCTCGTTTTTCTAATTACGTTGTTGACTGCTGGTTCAAGTAGGGTTCCATGACTTGTTTAGCCAGCTTTTCAGGATTTTTGCGCAGAAAAAATTTGAATTTTAAGTCGAGTACCTTACCTTATCTTTGTGTGCGTGTCCTGGATTGCCTGGTTAGTGCTGTCCTTACTAGCTGTGCACCCGGTGCCGGTTTCTCCTCCCAGAGTTTCCCCTTCCTTGTCCTGCATCCCTTTGAGCCAAGTGCCCAAGTTCTTGTGTTTCTATAACCATAACCTAGATGGTCTAGGGTGTGCTGTTCCTTTCACACTTGCTCCACAAGATGATGACTGGAAATCTGTTTACACTATAAAGACAAGTAATATATCAAATCTTGGGTGAGTTTTAGGACCCTTTTTCTTAAAGGGTGGAAGATTATTTTAAAGGACGTATAGGAACTGTGATCAAATAGCCAGTGGATCTGCTGCTTCCAACCCAATGCACGAAGACACTGCATTTTAACAGTGCCAAATTGAAGCACAAAGCCGTCTTGTAGTTTCATTCTGTAGATTTGTTGTGTCTTCAGATATTGCATACATTACTCGTTGGGGTTTCTGTCTTTGCGTCCTTCCAGCATTGGGTCTGGTTTTCAGTTCCTCCAGCTGTGTCGACTCAGGTTCAGTTGTCTGGGGTTGTCTTGCCTTCCCTCTCTAGTCTTTTCTCGCTTGTGAAGAGGTGATTGCTCCATTGAGTTCTGTAGGTGAGTGTCCGTGTGTATAATCACGGGCTCTGGCTCTTCTGTGGCAGCATCCGCCTAATGCTTGCATCTTCTGACGCCTTTTCCCGTTGTCTCCTCCCCTCCCCCTCCCCCTCCCTCCTCGCGGTGCCCTTGCAGGGCTCCCGTGCTGGCCCCTAGATCATGTCCAGGGCTGAGCCCTTGCGCGCAGCAGCTTGCGGTAGGCTCTGTAGGTGGAGGTGGGCCAGGCCCACGCCCGGGCCGACAGGAGTTCTTGCAGCTCAGGGCTTTGTTGAGTAAACCCTTTAGCTGGCATTTACCCCGAGGCCACGGCGTCTGGCAGAGTCCAGCTTCCCACTCCGTCCCACGGAGCCCCAGGCTGCTCCTGAGGAGATGCCGTTCAGTCCCCAGCCCTGCTCTTGTTCTTGCCCCAGCGTGTGCAGGGCACCTGTTTCTGCCACCCCTTCCGGGCGGTTCCTGGTGTTGTCCCCGCCTGTGTCTGGGGTGTCGCGGCCAGCGTCCTCTGCGGCGTCTTCTCTCAGCTGGGGCCTTGGCCGCCTCGGAGGCTTTGTTCTCAGGCGCGTTTGGATTACAGATGTTTCCACATTTCACTGAAGACAGAGTTTGTGTTTGTGCTCTTCATTTTCCTTCCTGCTTTTGTATGATTTCCCAGAGTCTGAGAAGAGAGGAGAGAAGCCTTCGCCACTGTTTGAAAAGTGAGCTCCAGACTTGGCTGGGCGAGGTGTCTGGGGCAGGCGGCGGGCGGGCACAGGAGCGCCAGCGGGCTCAGGTCACCTGAGATCCACTCAAGGGCTGAGGTGACTTGGAGCTCCAGGCTGAGCAGGTTCCTCTCACGCTAGTTCGCCCTCGCGCCTGGCCTGTGACCCGGGCTGGGGAGGATCCCACCCCAAAGCCTCGCGCTCTGCGGGCCCCTCCTCCCCTGAGGATCCTGCACTCTGCTCGCCCAGCTCTGGGAGCCTGTAAGACGCTCTCCTCAGCATCACCGCTTAGCCGCCTGTTCCAAATTGATGAGGGCCTCCAGGTGAAAGTGGGTAGGAGATCAGCCCTCCTCTAACTTCTCTCCTTACCTGGAGCTTGCATTTCCTGACTGGCAGCTTTCTGAAGCCTTGAAACAAACTCAAGCTTTTTGGTTTAGTTTCTCCAGCTGGCTCTGCAGGAGACTTGCCCTAAACCACCTGTTCTGCCATCACTGGGAGCCATTTTCTGCTCTGTTATTGAAGAATAATTTGTTCAACCAATCAATTACTGTTGAAAATAAATAATGGTTTTGTTAAAGAACACAACTTATATTTTTATTGCTTAATTTTTGTGCCCACTTACAGTTGTTTCCAGATATACTTTGGAAGTGGAATTGTGTCACAAAGTGTACAAGAGTTGAGGGCTCTTCGTGCATGGTTCTAAATTGCCTTGCAGGTGCTCTGTACCAGTTGCTACTCCATCAGCAGTAGAAGAGGCAACTGCCTTTCTAATCTGTTAGATCCCACCTTCATACATGTGTGTGCATTTTCCTTCCCTCCTGCAGGCACGTGCTCTCACACCTCAAACGGCAGAAACAGATGCCATTCGGTTTCTGGTTGGGACGCAGTCTCTAAAATATGATAATCAGGTAACTATTTTTGACAAATGTATACATGTTAATTACTAAGCCTGTTCTTGGTTTTATAACCATTTCATTCTTGATTTTTCAAGCAACATTTGAGAAAATTAATGCCACACAAACAAAATAAAACTTTCATTGGGATTTACATAGCCAACTGTATGTGATGATTGAATTAAATAATTTAAACTTATTCTGTGTAGCATTATTGCCGTAGTTTCGTGTTTTGGTTTTGTGCGTATATAGGTTTCACCGTGTAAGTGGTTGAGAAGCAACCCAGGGTACGAGGTCAGCATCACCCCTTTGACCCCAGCCAGTGGTCGACTGCTCTGATGGCTCACAGCACTCTCTCTAGCTGGGCCTGGACGAGGCCGTAATCCCACTGCAACATAGAGTTCCAGGCTGTCGCTGCCAGTTGGTCCAGGGAGATATACAGGGTGTGACCTATGTGCTGTCCTGGCCACTATAGTGGATAGGCTGTTGGATACAAGATTGAGGTTCAGTCCACGGCTTGACACAAAAAGTATGACCTTGAGCGAACGGATTAACCTTGCTGGACTTCGTCTTCCTCATCCTCAAATAGAGGTAGGGTTGTCTGCAGGTGCCGTGGATGTTGCGGAGTTGTGCACTGCCGTTGATCTTGGGGAAACGCACATCAGGCGGTGTCACGTGGTGCAGCCCGCATCCAGTTACTGTTGTCAGCGGGGGGCAATGGTGTTAAAATCGCTGTCCAAGAGTATTCAGTGCCACATGGGGTGTGGTGAAATCCTCACTCTCCCATGTTGATGAGGGACTTTATGTTGGCATCGTCATTATGGCAGCTAATTTGATGGTATACATCTAGAGCTTCATAAATAAATGTTCATATTATTTAACACGTAATTCTTATACTCAAAACATCGAAAAAGCTTTATATACAAGGGATAATATCGTATTGGTGCATAGAATGGTGAAAGCACGAGAAGCGATCACATCGTGCAGGTAGTAGGTGGGATCCTATGGCATTCCCGTACTCGATGGCAGAGTCACATGACTAGCCTGGCTGAGCCTGGCCGCTGTCGGCTGTGTGCTCCCTCACTGCACGCATGAAAAGCTGAGTCTCCTCAGAAGCGTTACAACCTAAAAATTCTTAGGTGATTCTGTGAAATGTTCAGATTGTATATACTGTGCGATCACTATTGTGTAAAAAAAAAAAAAAGTAGATTGTTTTGCAATATATACAAATATCGAATCATTCCATTGCACACCTGAAACTGATATAATGTTATATCAATTATACCTCTATAAAAAAAGTAGATAAAGTACAAAATTGAATCTCAGCATAGAATAAAGACTAGAAATAGGTCAAAAGGGCTCGAAATTTGAGCCATAGTTATCTTCAGGGAATGTGAATGTGATGTAAGTTGTTTCTTTATAATTTCCAGTTTTCTGAATATGTGTGTGTGTTACTTTCCTCCTGGAAAATGTCAGATGGGAATGATTTATTTATAAAGATAGTTAGCAGTGGCTGTCTCACAGGGCAAGAGGAAACCCGGTGACGGCACCGTGCAGCCTGGGGGTGCTGGTTGGCGGAGAGAGGGGAAGGCTAACCAGGTGACAGCACAGGGAGCTGGTGACAGGAGGCACAGCTGTTTCCTCTGGGGATGGATGGGTGGAGTTTGTGATGGGGGAGGTGTTAGAGGCCTGGGGACAGAGCCAGGTGGACGACTAACTGCCTTTTTCTCATCTACTTGTGTTTCAATTCCACCCAGCTCCGGGCCTGTACCATTGACCTTCTTGGTAGAACATCAGTTTTTATTTTTATTTTTTTTGGCTGCGCTGCACGGCTTTCAGGATGTTAGTTCCCCAACCAAGGATTGAACCCACGTCCTCAGTGGTGAACGCTCAGAGTCCTAACCACTGGACCACCAGGGGATTCCTGAACATCAGCTTTTAAACTTCTTAAGAAAAGAAAGAAATTGTTATTATTATTTAATGAGGGATGCTTATACATTTTTTCTAGAAAATATTAAAAGCTGACAGAAACAAATGAATTAAGAACAAAACGAGGTAGTGTAAGGCATTAATAAGTTACATTGTACCTGGTTTTATCAGGCAAAATTGTATACCATTTGGTTATGATACTAAGAAAGGATCGGCCCCAAATGACGTAAAGTGCTTTAATCTTCCTGAAATCTTTTTTGAAGCAAGATAATCTCGGGGGTGGGCCCAAGCATCTGCATTGCTAACCAGTGTCAGGGAGCACCTCTTATGTGGCCCTGTCATAATGGATCGTAATTATCTAAGCCAGGGGGGACATCAGCCTCCTGACAAACGTAGTTTACAGCTCCATATGCCTGTTTATCAAATGTACTCTCTGCGGGAACAGTCCTGGCTTTTAGAATATGGGCTGTCGGTCCGTGGGCCTAGTGAAAGAAACATTATCATCTTAGGTGAGAGACTTTGATTCTTCTTAAAAATCAGTCTTAGAAATCCAACTTTCCAATGGTAAGGTCCAGAAAAGTTCGGTAGTTAATGGTAGTTAATGGTAACAAGTGCGTAACTCTTGGTAACCTCAGCCTTACTCCAGTGTGTAAGGCTCCTTGAGTGCTAGATGCAGAACCACTGTGTGCTCTGCCGGCTCTTTCCTTTCAAAGTCCTCATTAAGGGCTTCCCTGGTGGCGCAGTGGTTGAGAGTCCGCCTGCCGATGCAGGGGACACGGGTTTGCGCCCCGGTCCGGGAAGATCCCACATGCCACAGAGCGGCTGGGCCCGTGAGCCATGGCCGCTGAGCCAGCGCGTCCGGAGCCTGTGCTCTGCAACGGGAGAGGCCGCAACAGTGAGAGGCCGGCGTACCGGAAAAAAAAAAAAAAAAAGTCCTCATTAAGCTGCTGATTCAGGATTGTAGCCTCTGGCTTCAGTTATTTTTTTCTGGCCACAGTTGAATTAAAGGGTGGAGGCTGAGGTTTATAACTTTCTCTTTACACTCTTCACCTGTGGTGGTCTTTTGGCTGTGAATCCAGACGATAGGAATGAAAGAGTGTTTCTGACCTGCTGGTGTTTCTTTTCTGTTTCCGGGAAAGGTACGTGGCCTTGTTGGGACAGTCATTCATTCACTCACTCACTCATTCATTCATTTGCTCAGCAATGCTTACTTAGTGTGGTGACAGGACTCTGATTCCTCTCACTGTGTTAGGTGTGAGACTCACAGAAGGAACAGATACATTTGTGCCCTGAGTTCAGCTTCCAGTGATGCAGTGACATAGATGTGCAGATAACTGCAGTGACACTGAGGAGAGAGGTCCAGGCGGAGTGGCACGTGGCCGGAAGGACACCAGTTTCTTCCTGGTGGCATCAGAGCCAGCATCACAGAGAAGGGGGTGTCTGAGCTGAGGCCTTCAGGCTGTGATGAGTTGTGTCACTTGCTGGTGGGCCTGTGTTTTCATAGTACTTTGGCTCATCCCCGGGGAGGGAGCCCAGGGGGAAGGGAGAGGCGAGAGGGAGCAGGGGGGCCAGGCCGCGTGCATGGACACCTGTGCCGCCGGAAACAGTCCTCACGCCCGGCGTGCATGTTTCATCTCAGACATGCATGCCTGTTCTGCTCACGCCACACGTGTGTTCCTCTCACACCTGACAGTGCTTCCCCTCACATATAGTATGTTTCCTCCCACATGTGAGACACAGGTCTTCTCGCATGTGATGTGCATGGTTCCCTACATGTGTGCCACATGCTTCCTCCCTCGTGTGACACGTGTTTCCAGAGGCACCTGCCCCCGGGAGAGGATGCCCTGCGGTGGGGGGAGCATAGCATCCCTATTTCCTTCTGTCTCCAGAGGAAGTCCGGTTGTCCCTCTGGTTTCTGACAGTGTTACTGTTATCACACGATTACCACCTGCGTTTTAAAATGATGAGGGCCTTCTGGCTGACTGCCCCTGTCTCCTTTCCCCTGTCTCCGGCTTGCTTCCCTGCAGTGAGGGTGGACAGGGGCTTCCCCTCTGTGTCCTCTCCCGTCAGCGGTGTCGTGTGGGTCCCTGTCTGGCAGTGCTGTGTGCTGTGTGTCTGTCATTCCCCTCCTTGGGACGTACTCCCAGCCGCCTCCAGCCATGAGTTGGTGAGAGAGAAAGATAATGATGGGGGTCCTGGCCTGTGAGCCATGGGGGACTGAGGGCCAGACAGGGAGTGCAGGCAGGTGGTGTCCACTGCGCCCTCAGTGGACAGGGTGGGTGCTATTGGCCCCATTTCCAAACGGAGGGGTCGGCTCTAGCAGCCACGCGGTTTCTCCCTGGGGCCCTGCTGAAACGCGGCAGGATGACCACCAAGCCACCGGCTCCCTCTCCCCGCGTCCTCCTCACTTGCACGCGCCGTGAACTGTGAAGCTCGGCTGGGCGAGGGCGCGTCCTGGACACTTGCTGTGGCGCCCCCACGGCTGATGCCCCTGTGGGAGGAGGTGCCGCCCCTGCCCCGAAGCACCTGCAGTGCCAGCTGTGACAGTGACGGGGCATCACGTGACCTCAGCCCAGCTCTGAAACCCCGCCCTCTGGAGCTCCGCCCTGCCTGGGGAAGGAGGGGTGGCTGGTAGGGTTTCTGTCCCCCTCCCCAGCTTTGCCTCGGGCCATCAGCTCCTCCCTGGCAACTGTTAATCCCTAGAAAGCGCCCCTCACCTGAATCAGTGCTACTGAATTCAGCCCGGCTGTTCTCGTGAAAATTTGAGGAGCTGTCACAGTTGCTGGCCTTTCTTTGTCTGATGAGCTGCTTTATTTTCTGTGCCTTTAATTTTGCGCTGCCTGTGTTTGCAGCAGGACGGGCACTTCTGGAGTCCTGGTCTCCCCTGAGCTCTCCTTTGTGAGAAGGTGGGCCCTCCTGGGAGGCTGTGCTCCTCTGGTCCAGCGGGAAGCTCTGGCAGAGCCCAGGGGCAGGGCTTTCGCATTGCAGGGGTTGGGTTGCTTCTGCACCCTGCTTTCCCTGCAGAATCTCTCTGCATGTTGCTTCTCCCCTATTTGTCGCGTAGATGGTGAGCGCCAGGGTGACAGAGAGGACCACTGTGGCCGGCCTTCTCTCAGCAGTCACTGAGAAGGCCGACATCCCCAAGGGGCTGGCAACGCAGCGGCCTTCTTTCCCCATGGCTCTTTTCCTTTGTAATCTTTTTTTTTTTTTAACGTGTCAGCTCGATTGTTCTGTATTTGTATTTTGACCGAGGACAGCTTTGCTCCTGTGCCCTCTCTGCCTGCAGGTCCTGTATTTGGCCACCCTCAGAATCACTGGAGGCGTTTGTTAGAAATTCAGGTTCCCAGCCCCACTCCAGACTGAGCCTCCATTTCTCCCCCGTCCCCCTCCCGTCCCCCTCCCCCCCCCCCCCCCCCCCCCCCCCCCCCCCGCCCCCCCCCCCCCCCCCCATCTCCCCCCCTCCCCCTGACCCCCGCCCCATCCTTCCCCCTCCTTTAATGACTACAGGAATTTATGCTCCTGTTAAGGAAGCATCAGGAAGAGCTGGGTTTCTGGTGAGGCTGGATCCAGGGCAATTTCTGGAAGCGAGAAGGGAGGATCCTTAACTTTCCCCTGGAGGCGAGCTTTCGCTTTTTCCTTTCCAATTTTACAACACTTTTTTTTTTGTTTTTGAATTTTTAAGAGTTTACCTTAAGTTCAATAAGAAAAGAAGCACACAGAGGGCAGCGGCCTGGAGTCACGTGCTCCAGTGATGGGTACTGTGGACAGGGACAGCTTTCTCTGAACCCTGATTCTGCGGGAAGATGAGGGGGCTTGATTAAGATCATCTTTACAGGCTTCCTAATAAGTTTTATAACTCTGGCTCCTAAATTTTTATAGTGTCATCTGTGCCCTTAGCCCTGCACTGGTAAGTCCAACTTTAAAATTTTAATAATGGTAATACAAAAGATATGACCTTGAGCTTCATTACAAGCTGTTGGAAGCATTTTCCAAGCTCAGCAATTGCGTAAAGAATTTAAAGTAACACTTACACACTACCCAGACAACCACACATCTTCCCCACCCTCTGAGCCAACACTAAATGTTCTGTCTTTTGTGCCCCCATAATCTTTTGCACTCACCTTAATCATAGTGTTTTCTCCACTGTAGTACTTGTTTTTGTAATTGGCCTGTAACTGCATATGTTTATGCAACAGAACATTGCTGTGTACGTTGTGTGAGCTGGGCAGAGGGTGGTGCCCTGAGGACAGGCAGTTAAGTTACCGTCTCTTTCTTCCGAATCAGGAGCTGCCTGCTACTCTTGCTGCCCTGCTGCAGTGCAAAGCCCAGTGTCGGGGAGGGTGGGGTATCCCGTGCCCCGACGGTGTGGAGGCTCTTAGCACAGGCTCTGGAATCCCATTTCTAACCGAATGAACCGTGATACTCCAGCTCTGTAAACCTTGGTTTCTTCCCCTGTAGTCGTGGCTAATAATGATAGGTTATCATATTATCACAGGGCTCTTTTTAGGATTAAAGGAACCAGTGTGTGTAAAATAGCTCGATGCCTGTCGCATTTTGCATATTAGTCATTATTCTTTTGATCCCTACTTGTTTGTGGTGATGATGTCCTACCGTTCTCTCCGAGCGTACCTGGATTACAACATCTCATGAAGATGTAGCCTTTGGACCCGTCCATGAGCCTGCTGTAGGTGAGGACATGGAAGAATGCTAGGACTCCCAAGCTTAATGATGAAGGTTAAGGGCCATAGTATCAGACTATCAGGTTAGGAGAGGTGGACCTGTTGGGGGGGGTCTTGGACTCCTCCCAACGCCCAGCCGTCTAGGGCAGAGGCTGACTTGTGTGTGCCTGAGCGGGTAAGAAACGAGCCCAGAGGAAGACCAGCTGGGATCACATACTAGAGCCTGTTTGGACCCCGCGTGCTTCTGGTCTTCACAAGAAGGAATAGCCTTCCCCAGACGGAGCAGGTCCTCCAGAGGAGCGCAAAGTGTGGGCACAGAGGTCAGAGGTCCGGTGGAAGGACGGCTCCCAGCCAGGAGCTGCAGGTGTGCAGGGGGGCTGTGCGCTCACCTGGCACCTGGGTCCACAGAGCCAGCAGAGGAGGAGCCAGAGCTCTTGTGCTCCCCCGGGTGTTGGTCCCGATGTTTCAGGGTACTGCAGAGGGAGAGCTCTGGGGAGAGGAAGAATTGTACATTTAAGTGCCTCATTTTTAAGTGTTCATGGATTTTCTGATAAGGAGGAAACGTCAAATACTTAAGAAAAAAATTTCCTGTTCACCCTAACAACACAAAAATTCTGCCTGATTTTGTGTATTGCCTTTTAGTCTGTGTTCACATATAACTTTTAGAATGTAGAAGCTGTCCACCAGGAGTATTTCCAAACCCACTGTGAAAACTACATTGGGCTATGAGTCCTGGGAGAAACTGACTGAAAGTAGTTTTAAAGATAAAAACAACAGTCATGGTTTTTAATCTCCCTCCCCCAGAGAAGGGCGGGAGCCAGTGTGTGTGCCCCCCCACTCCGAGATCAGCCCTGCACGACCCCTTGGTCCCAGCAATCCCAGGAGCTTTGTCCCTTCTCCTGCATTGTATTCTCCGGGACACTGAGGCTTGGGGTCACACAGACTGTAAGTGGGAACGGCGGGATTTGAATTCTACTTTGAGTCCAGAGCGACCCCTTAAGGTACCGGGGGTTGTTTTCACATGAGGACACTGTACAAAGGAAGCAGCCGAGAAGAGAGAGGCCCTGAGCAAGTGCAGAGTGGAGATGCTTCGGGTGTCATGGAAACAGTTTTTAAAATATCATTTAATGTTTGACTGCAAAGTAGTGCATATTCATCATGAGAAATGTTAAAAATGAAAACAAACCACAAAGAAGTAAAGGAAAAGCCACTATAATCCCACCACCCAAAGGTAACCAGTTGCTTTCTGGTTCTCTCATTCAGATGTGCTTGCTTTTTAACAGAAAGCGTGTGGTGCGTGTGTGCGGTTCTCTTACTGGTTCTTTTCCCCTTGGATATATGTTACGGACCCTCTTCCCTGAGACTAAATAGTTTTTATAGTAGAATGGATGGCTTCATAGTATTATATTACAGTCAAGTACTACAGTTTATTTGAACAATTCCCTGTTGCCAGACATTTAGGTGGCTTCTAATTTTTCATTATGACAGTCAGTGCCACAGTGAACATTCTTGGATATAAATCTTTGTGCAGATTCATGATTACAAGTGTAAATTTATTTTTAAAATGTTTAATTTTATTTTTTCCAGTGACTTGACTGTTGATAAGAGAGTGAACGTGGACATCATTTCCATTCCTCTAAAAATTATCCAGAAAAGCATGGTGATAGCACATGTAACTTTTCGTTTAGTGGCTAAAATGTCATGTCGTTATAATCAATGTTATATGATCAGAAGCATTGACAGCTGTTGGCTTTGTTTTTAAAAAGAGGTTTAAGATGTGCTAACACGCAGTGCTTTCTCACCACTTCCTGCCTCATTTCTTTCCGACGTGAGTTAAATTGTGCCCACTACAGAGTGGGCAGAGCAGGGCTAAGACTGGGCCTCATCAGGCAGCAGTGCCCTGCCCTGTTCTCCTCCCACAGCTGTGCAGCAGGTCTGGGACACTCTTGGCTTGGTGGCACCATCCTGGAAGACTCTGGCCCTGGCACCAGCCATGGCCTAACCAAGCGAGGCGGGGACGCAGCTTTTGGTGTCTTGTCTCTTTAGGAGTTGATGTGGCAGGGGGCAGGGTTCTGTAGCTGCAAATCGTAACAATACTTTGTGGGGATTTCACACTTGTCTTAAGTGTATACTGTTAGTGTAGTAAGAATAACTGTTAAGTAAAGATGTGAAAGATGCATTTGATTATTATTCCTGTAGTCACTGTGTTCATGAAGTCATGTGGAAACTGTGTGAGGTTCTGACATTCTCTTTCCTTGTGTTTATAGATCCACATCATAGACTTTGATGATGAGAATAACATTATAAATAAAAATGTGCTCCTCCATCAAGCGGGTGAGATCTGGCACATTAGTGCCAGCCCTGCAGACAAGGGAGTGCTGGCCACCTGCTACAACAAGAGTGAGTATCCCTAGGGGTCTGTGTGCGCCCACTGTTGGGTCGGCCCGTGATGCATAAGATGTTCCAGTCAGGGAAGTGCTGCGTTCACAGAGAAGTTGTGATACTGTGGGTAAATGTAGATTATACTAAGCGGTTATTGTGATCCAAAGCCTAAGAACTGAAGCTGGAATCATGGCTGTTCCAGGAGCGTTGACCCCGGGGAGTGGGAGTGATGTGCCCGAGGGTCTCCACGGGTGGATGTAGCTGCCCTCGTCCTTAATTAACTGCACCCTCAGGAGGGCAGCTGGACTTGCATCTTTCTCATCACCTATCAGTACGTGTGATAGCAGGACCAGTGAATCACAGCTTCTCGGTGCACACGCGTGCTGTATGGTCACGATCCTTCATAGGCTTCTGCCCAGCCTACCGTCTGCCTTCCCGTCTCTGGGACGTTTTAGCGTTTGTGTCAGTCCAAAGTCTATGGTGCTAAACTGGCCACACGACTTCCTTAATTGTTGTTACTCTGTCGTTGTCAGTAACTAGCATTCAGATTCTGGCTTTGGGAGGAAAGGAGAAAGGAAGCACAGAGATGTGGGCTTCCACACAGAGCGTCTAGAAACTGTTTGCTCTTGAGGAATCTTGGAATTGATTTTTCTTATAAATAGCAGTGTTTAAATTATGTCTGTTTATTGCAACATGCAACCCCCCCCGCAAGTCAGTAGAAGTCTGTACTGTGATAGATGCACGCATGCGTGTGCACGTGTGCACACAAACACACACACTCTGGAATAAATATCACAGTGGCCTTGTAAATAACTACAGAGAATTGGAATAACTCACAACTTACGTTTATAAATGCAGGTGAGAAAACCTCCCTCCACACCTTTTTTTCCTCCTGCTGAGGAGGGAGGGTGAGTAAAGCAGCATTAAATCCTCTTGCACAGCCCAAGTAGGTACTACTTGCAGGCAGAAAACTTCTTGCAGAGTTCTGTTCTCTGTCTTGAAAAATGATAGTGAATTTGCTGTAGGTTAAAGTAAACTAGACATTCAAACTCCTTTTCCAAGCAAGCCACACACCCATCTATCCTAGCTTATGTCTCTGTCATTGGAGGAGCAAGTGACAGATGTAGCTTGTTCCAGATTATCGATAGGGATCTATAACTGCTGTCAATCAGACTTTAGCCATCACCTGGATTTTTGTGAAAATATGTTCTCAGAGTCCAGGTGCTGGCAGGGAAGCTGTATTAGTAGTAAACTCTTTTAGAACTTATTCTACGTGGATGAAGATTAAAAAAAAACACTGTAGCTTTTCTTTCTGATAATTTTACAAGAAAATGCATCACCGTGGAAGCAGAACGAGGGCACGTGGGTGGGTGAGGCTGGCTCCGTGGGGCCGTGCGGCCCAGGGCCGCGGTGAGTGTGCACGGCACCGAGCAGATGGTTGGGCGGACGTGGGACGTGGCCCCTTTTGGAAGCTCACTCACACAGTTGTGTGTAATCACTGCTCAGAAAACAGTTACGGATGGAATCGGCTGATTTAAACTGAATTGAAGGACTGGTCTCTGGGATTTCACAAGATGTGGTGAGTTTCTTTGGAATGAGGGTGCCGAGATGTCCGAGCAGATGAGCAGGAGACCCAGGCCCAGATGCCACGGATGCTGAGTTAATCTCAGTGTTTGCGCCCTAAGTGGGGAGAGCGCCGGAGACCAGGAGGCGAATGTGACCCCTCCGTGCGAACCTCTCTGTAGCTCACGTGTAGTTAGTGAGGCCCAAGGCCATGGGACTGCACAATCGCTGCACTGTCCAGTGATTTCTGCCAGATCATCCCCAGTTATTTTCCAGCATTTCCCCGTCAAGGTGGAGGTGGGACAGCGGTGAGGAGAGGTGACCCCACCAGAGATGGGCAGTGGGCCCTGCTTCCCAGCCCTCCATCCTGGCCGCCCTGTCTGGCGATTTCGCCTGTAAAATGGGTGCAGTTCGACCCATGCCTTTATTTGGAAGCAAGGAGCGAGGAGGGCTCAGGCTGGGTGTGTGAGGGTTTGGGGGGCCCCGGCAGCCCAGGTCTTCACGGGCGCCCGGCCTGGTCCTGCTGAGTTTCTCTGGGAGCGGTGGTGGCCCCGGCCTGGCACAGCCCGCAGGGTCCCTCAGGAGCACCTCAGCCCTGATGCCCCTCCAGCCGTCCCACCACCACGGGAGCTCCTGAGTTTGGGGCACAGAACCTTCAGGGGTAGGCGCTGGGGTGCTCGAGGCCACAGGATCAACGTGCTGTCTCTATCGAGCGTACCGAAACCGTCATTTATAGCCTCCAGTGGGTGTCGTGGTTCTGAGGGGAATGCAGACTCGCCTGCATCTCATGACCACCCGAGACGTGCGGGGACCTTTCGGACAGCACCCCGATCCCTTTAGGCAGATGCGGGCAGGTCTGCAGGTTTCCGTGCAGGATGGACCCTCTGCCTGGCTTAGGCGTGGCCCGGGGAGGATGAGGCGGGGCCTTTGTTCTAAGCGGACGGAGGCTCCTAGTGTAGCAGGAAAGACTTGGCAGTGACACGGCCCTTCCCCGGCACCCCTCCGGCAGGCAGCCTCCCAGGTCCTGGCACCGTCTCCTGCCTTCACCTCCTTGGCCAAGTCCAAAGACCCCGGACGGATGGGCTGGTGTTCCTGTCCTTAGACAGCCTCCTCTCACCTCGGCCTCGCCCTCCAGTTGGAGGATCCCCGCCTCTGTCCCCGCCTGACCCGTGGAATGAGCCACGGCGGCGCCCTAGGCCCCAGTGGGGTCCTCTGAGGGGCTGGGTTGGGGCATCGGGGGAGCCCGGCTGGTCCCAGTGCCCTGGCTGGTGCAGTGAGCTGTGTCTTAGGCCTGGCCCTTCATCTCTGGCTCTGTGCCGTGCCCATGTGGGACGGTTCCGACGACGGGAGGGAGGCGCGCCCTCTGATCACTCTGAGAGCTTGTCTGTGGCCTTCAGTGGTGGGGGCTCCTCCTCCTTTTAAACACCGAGCAGAGCCGAGGTATAGCTTCGCCTGCCCGCCAGTTCCTGGGTCCCCAGAAGGAGCCAGAGGCCGTGAGGGCTTCAGTGGTCTTGGTTTTCTGTTTTTGCTTTTGTTTTTTATTGGAGTATAGTTGATTTACAAAGTTGTGTTAGTTTCTGGTGTGCAGCAAAATGCTTCAGTTATCCACATATATCTATCTATCTATTCTTTTTCATATTCTTTCCCATTATGGCTCATTGCAGGGTATGGAATACAGTTCCCTGTGCTATACAGCAGGTCCTTGTTGTTTATCTGTTTTATATATAGTAGTGTGTATATGTTAATCGCGAACTCCTAATTTGTCTCCCCCACACCTTTTCCCCTGTGGTAACCATAAGTTTTTTCCTGTGTCTGTGAGTCTATTTCTGTTTTGTAAATAAGTTCATTTGTATCATATTTTAGATTCCACATGTAAGTAATATCATATGGTATTTGTTTTTCTCTGTCTGACTTACGTCACTTAGTATGATAATCTCTAGGTCCATCCATGTTTCTGCAAATGGCATTATTTCATTCTTTTTTCATGGCTGAGTAGTATTCCATTGTATATATGTGCCACATCTTCTTTACCCATTCATCTGTCAGTGGACACTTAGGTTGCTTCCACATCTTAGGCTGTTGTAAATAGAGCTGCTATGAACATAGGGGTGCGTGTGTCTTTTCGAATTAGAGTTTTGTCCAGATGTGGCCAGGAGTGGGATTGCTGGATCATATGGTTCCTTAGTTTTTTAAGGAACCTCCATTCTGTTCTCCATAGTGGCTGCACCACTTTCCATTCCCACGAACAGTGTAGGAGGGCTCCCTTTTCTCCACACCGTCTCCAGCATTTGTTATTTCAAGACTTTTTGATGATGGCTATTCTGACTGGTGTAAGGTGGTACCTCATTGTAATTTTGATTTGCAGTTTTCTAATAATTAGTGATTTTGAGCATCTCTTCATGTGCCTATTGGCCATCTGAATGTCTTCTTTGGAGAAATATCTATTTAGAACCTCTGCCTGTTTTTGTTTTTTTTTTTCCTGTACTCGGGCCTCTCACTGCTGTGGCCTCTCCAGTTGTGGAGCACAGGCTCCGGACGCGCAGGCTTAGCAGCCACGGCTCACGGGCCCAGCCGCTCCGTGCCATGTGGGATCCTCCCGGACCGGGGCACGAACCCGTGTCCCCTGCATTGGCTGGCAGACTCTCAACCACTGTGCCACCAGGGAAGCCCCTCTGCCCGTTTTTTGATTGGGTTGTTTATTGTTTTGATATTGTATGAGCTTTGTATATTTTGGAAATTAAGCCTTTGTCGGTCTCATTGTTTGCAAATATTTTCTCCCATTCTGTAGGCTGTCATTTTGTTTTGTTTATGGTTTCCTTTGCTGTGTAAAAGCTTATGTTTGATTAGGTCCCATTTGTTTACTTTGCTTTTATTTCTGTTGCCTTGGGAGACTGTAACAGTCTTGGTTTTAATGGATTTTGCCACTTTTGGTTTATAGAGTTGGTTTGGTGAGTGACGACTTGCATTTAAGCTCATGACAGTCATTACAGCAGAACCGTCCCTGCTCCATCAGCAGCCATGAGACTGGCAGTAGCTGCAGTGTGTGTTGCTGGCAGTGGGTGTCAGACACTGTTTAAACACTTGGAGGAGCACCCGCTCATCAAATTCGCATTTTATTGATGAAGAAACTGAGGCATCGGAAGGCTGAGTGACTTTCTCAAGGTCATGCGTCTGGTGGGGTCAGAGTTGGGATTTGAGCGTTGGATTCTGGTTCCGGGCGGTGCCCTTGACTGCCAGACAGCGCCTTTTCAGTCGGAGTTCCACACATGAGAGGGCTGTTTAGAGCCTGCTGATCCATCCTGAGGCCACACCAATGTAGTACAAGTTTCTGGCTTTAGACATTCACTCCCATTTCATATTTTTAAATCATTATTTCTTGGAGTTTCTGTTGTGCTTAAGACATTGCAGTAAGAGCTGAGGGTGGGAAGATGTGAGACTGAGTACCGGGCTCCGAG